TTCAAAGTCAATCTAGACATCTATCCAGTGATACCGCCTGCAAAAGATTTCAAGCCAGCTGCCTTCACTTATGATGAAGTCAAGCTTGCCCCGTCTACACGCAGACCTCATTTAGTACGCAATCCCTTTCTCGACTACTACCACATGCCAGTGATTCCGTCCACCGCCGCCTATGGCTTCCATAATGCATACGATCAACCGGCTTTCATGCCTTTCCGCTTTCCTTCGTCATCCGCGCAGCCCCAACTACAACCGCATATGCCGCAGTCGAGTAATATGCAATTGACCTACCCCGACCATGTGTCGAAATCTCAATTTCAAACACCTTTTATGCCACTCGATATGTCCCACATGAGTAGCGCCTCGAGTGCCAGCGCTAGCGGTCCCGGTGCCGGTGCCGGTGCCGCCGCCAAAGCCAATCAAAATCAAATTTTGGTACACTTAAATGTTTTCCCAAAACAAAAACAACAGGCCCTCGCGGTGCCGACATCGAATAATCCCTTCTATAATGCGGGTCAAAATATAAATCGTCACATTATCATGGAGGAACGCGAGTCGCTGTCGCCCATTGAGCCGCGTCATCAAGCACGCAACTCCAATTCTAATTCCAATTCGACTAATTCGCCAGAACAACCAGTTTCGCGTAGCGACAGCTCAGATCCGGAAGGTCTGGTCGATTTCGAACATCCTATAGTGGCTGCGGAAGTTACAGATCAGCCACATGCGGCTGCTTTGGTAAGCAATAAATTGGATGGGGCGGAGAACTGTACGCATTACGAACGCTTTGAGGGACGCAGTCGATTTCAGCGATACAACGAGTCAGCGGATGTTGATCAAATGGCATCGGAGGCCCAGGCAGCTTCGCTTTTTCGTTTCCCAGTGGAGGACCTAATCAAATTTCAAGTAGACGATGCGTTGTAGGTGGGAAAGAGAAAGGTAGACGTTCAAGGCGCTGAATTTTGGTGCTAAATATTCATATTACTAATGAAGGTGCTTGTAAGTATATTTAAATATACTTCTTTGAGATCTACAAATAATTATATAATTTTTGTGTTTATAAATAAATCTATGATTTTGGTTCATATATACTCGTATTTTGCTTGTTAAGTTATTAAGTGAAATTGTTTTTGTTAAAGTTTATATTATTTTATTTAATGCAGCAATATTTATTAGACGTGTTAATAAATGGAAATAAATAGTTAAGTTTAAATAAATTAAGACTTGTGTGTTTTTGAAGTGAAACTTCTTTAGCGGCGGTTGGTTGGTTGGGAGTAAATTGGCAAAGTCAACGGAAATTGCACACGGAAATGGTGCAACGGAAATGATGCAAAAGAAATGGTGCAACGGAAATGGTTGGGGCTGAGACAAGTGCTTCTTGAGTGAGTATGTACGTGAGTACGTACATGGATAGAGAAAAGGATAAAGGTGAAAGTAACAATAAAAACAAATATGCGTAAAGATATAGGAAAAAATAAGGACCTATGTAAATTTAAGCATTTTACTTATGTAAGGGCAAAGGTGAAGGGAAATATGTAGATGAAGAAAATGAGAAAGTAAAGATAAAGAGGAGGATGAGGATACCGATAAAAGTAAAGATGAAGATAAGGGAAGAAAGACTAAAAGAACTATTTTGGGATTTTAGAGATTTTCGGGACTTATAGATATAATAATCGATATTTTGTCGGTTTTGTGATCGATTATGTTATCGATTAATTATAGAAATTTTTGTCGATATTGTTATCAATCTTGCTATCGATATTTTCGGAATTTATCGATAAAATAATCGATATTTCTATCAGTTTTATATCGGTATTTTTATAGATTTTTTTATCGATATTGTTACCAATTTTTCTATCGCTATTTTCGGAACCTATCGATATAATAATCGATATTTTTATCCATTTTGTTATCGACATTTTTATCGATTTTGTTATCAATGTTTATCGATTTGGTTACCGTTATTTATCGATATTTATTGACTTTGTTATGGCTGTTTTTATCGATTTGACTAACGATATGTTTATCGATTTTGTTATCGATATTTATCGATTTTGTTGTCGATATTTATCGATTTTTTATACATTTATCGATTTTGTTATCGATTTTTTATCGATTTTGTTATCGATATTTATGGATTCTGCTATCGATATTTATCGATTTTGTTATGTACATTTTTAACGATTTTGTATGGATATTTTTATCGATAGTTTTATAGAGTTTCTAATAAATTTTGCTACCAATATTATTATCGATTTTCTATCGACATTTTTATCGAATTTTTCATCGAATTTGTTATTGATAAATGAAGATAAAGGAAACAGAATAACATAAATGTAATTAGAACGAAGAGGGTAGAGGTAGGGATCTAGATAGAAAAAAAATACAAAAAATATAACCTTAAGCAAATGCAGATGTATGTATGTATTTACATACATATGTATGTTTATTGGTTATGAGACAAAATAGATATGTATGTAACGTATGTTTCACTTCTTCAGTGTAGCCCAGGCGCACTTACTTTTTTGTTTTTTAAATGTGTTATATGTACTTACTCTGATATTCATTTACTTGCCCTACACTACCTATGGCTGCACTGACTGTAGTAGAGACGACAGTATGTTCTGCCTAAATGTAGGCTTTTGATTTAGATTAAAATCTTTTAAAGAGCTCAACAAGGAAAATGATGTGAGAGATATAGCAAAACGAACGAAAGTGCGTGTTTTCCGCTGATTTACTTCACATGCTCATTCTAAACAATATTTTAACTGGTTTGTAGAAAGAAAACAAAAAATGTAGGATGAGCAGAAATACTGGTCTCAATGTATGGTGAAGAGTACATTTCCAAATACCACTAGCAATCGAATTGGTGGTTGGGCAGCACAGACTCTTTAAATAAGAAAAGCTGTGAAAGTGTAAGTCAAAAGGATGTTGAACATGACATATCGACGGTACTTTGGCAAAACCTTGTATTTCAGAAATCATCACTACTTCTTATCTCGTAAAATTTGTTCAAAATAGTCCTTAAGTTACCACTATTCATTATATATTTTTCTTAATAAACTAAAAATTACTTAACTTTTAATACTCAGTAAAAAAGTTATTAAAAATTATTTTCAGTTATTAATAGAGAGTTTTTGTTGTTAGAGAGTATTGTTTTAGAGCATTTTGAGATACGAGGTTTTGCCAAAGTACCGTCGATATGCATGTTACCAAAATGTAAAAATAATAATATTTAACTGTGAAATTGGGGTGATATGAAACTTTGCAAATAGACGTGACCTCGCACACATGTCTAACCGGTTTATCATGCATTACTAAACTTGCTATTATTCTAGAATATACTGGCATTAAAAATCGGGTATGCTGGCCCACTAATTGTGGAACAAAATGAGACGAATAAAAAAAGGCATGAATTCGGTGTGGTGATTATGAAAGACGAAGACCTCCAGAATATTAGACGACCTGCGGTTTTGACCCGAAACGTCACAAATCCTTTTTACAGTGTTTGGAAATTTTTCTTTTTGGGCTTCAAGTTGATCTTAATTATTTGAAAAAATCCTCTATAAAGATCTGTAATAATATTTAGCGGTGCATATTTTTGTAGAATATTTTAACCCGTGTGGGTAGTTTTGATACTTGCTTGGGTCAAATATGTATTCCGTCACTTTTTAGCGGTGGCCATATCGGATTTACTGATATTGTATATGCACAATTATATTGTCGTCAGAACTATAGGGGCGTACCAAATTTCAGATCAATAGGTTAACCTGATGGAGAAAAATTTTCGTTACTACTAAATTTGACTCACATAAGGGTCAAAGCGACCCACTCGGCTGAGAAATAGTGGACAAAAATATGCCTATTAAATTTTACTATAGCTTCTTAAAGACAAAATTAACGGTAAATGTACTTTTATACGAGATTTTTTCAAATACTTAAGATCAACTTGAAACCAAATTAGGAAAACTTTTATACACTAAAGAAAAAAATTGTTACGTTTAAATAGGCGCAAAACGGGAGGTGGTCCAATATTTTAGAGCTATTCTGTTTTCATATTTGCCGTACCCCATTCTTTTAATTTGTTTGGCTGTCGCACAGTGTAATTTTTGAAACGTTCTTAGCCTTGCTTAGATAAGCTTAGCTTACAATCGTCGTAGTCAAGCTGAATTAACGGTAGGCTCAGCAGACATGCTGTTTCGATCAAAAGTGCCTGAATGTACAATGTACATATATCGTCGAGTTCAGTGATTAACGTACTAGGTACTGAATCACGAACTTCAGTTCACAGAGATTCCTTCTGAAGTGCCTAGGAGGAGACTTCGTTTCTAGCACGTGCCTCTTCGCGTACTCGCGTCGATCGCAGCTGATCAGAAACTGTTGCCCAGTATTGTGCAGTATTTCCTTACTTATAGCATCTCAGCTTCGCTATTGAGATGGCAGCTGGCATGTGTGGTGTGCAGTGGCATAATTTTTGCTTCTTCCACTGTGTCCTACTAGTTCTCGGTGACCATTTCGAACCAGCCGGGAACATGATGGAAAGTGCAAATTATGTTTCTCAACAATTTTGCCAAAGAATATCTTTTCAGGTTCTTGTGCACCAAAGCGCACCCAGCGACCGTTTTTGGTCAAATAAAGTACCAATTCAGATTTCTCGAATCCCAAAACCCACAGAGCGGACTTTCTAATGAAAACAATTTGCCTTCTTTACTTGTCTTCTATATGTAATTAATGTATTTTTTTTTTTAATTTTTGGTCTGTTTAAGTTTTGCAACTTCATAACATTTTGCAGTAGAAATTTTTTAAATCACTGCGCCTAAAATTCAACTTAACGCCAAACTCTTTTGACAAAAACAAAACAAGCAACACTTGAGCACATTTAAACCAGTATTTTAGCTGCTTTCAAGACACGCTTTATACAGGTGAAACTCACCACACTGAAGAGCACCTTGGAAGCGGCGCAACAGTCAAATCGCCAAGTCTAGCATTAAGACCAGCTGCAGTGACGGAGCAACCAACATTTGTTGAGAATGAGTCGTGGCGTGCGGACGTGCCTTACGTGAACGTTGGCTGGTCGAATGGCAAACAAAAAACAACAAAAACAAAAGTAGTTTAGACAAGAAAAAAATTTGAAGATACGAGTATTGTGAAGTGTGTTTGTAGAAGCAGGTAAAAATCTTGAATTGATGTAAACAAAATCAAACAAAAATGCGACACCAAAACGGCGGTCAAGCCAAATCAAGTTTTTGCAGAAAATGAGAAAATAAAAAGCGTGAAATTAAAATTCTTAAATCAATGCGTATTGAAACGTAATTTTAATAAACTTTGTTTTTGTGATAAAAATTAAAAAATTAAAAAAAAATCGCTGGCGACTAAACTTTAAGGCGAGTACAATAGCGGAAAATTAAAAAAAAATAAAAAAATAGCATAACTGCCAGCAGCTCATTGATGTCAAATATTGACGAAAAAATCAGAATGTTCGAAATACGTGTGTGGTGATTTGGTGACGCATGCGCAAACGATTTTTTGCTATAAACTGCCAGAAAAGAATTTAAATGCAAACTAAATAAGGCATAATAATACTCATGAATAATAAATAAATTTTAGACAAAATTGTGCTAACAAAAACAAGTAGCTGATATAAAATTGCTTAAAAGCTAACAAACTGAATATATATTTTGAAAACGTATTAAGCATAATAGAATGCGATGAAAATTAAAACCAGTTGCTTGATATTTTATCTAAGTAGCGAAATTAAAAACACAAATAAAAACTTCGCGCCAAATCCCAAAATAAATATTATATATAAAACTTTTCATAATAACCTAAATACACGAATGCTTTAATTTTCCACCATTCCTAAATGAAATTAAAATATTTTGTACACTCATGAAGTTGTGCGAAATTTTTAAGCTAACCTGAAATTTCATTTCACATCTTCATAGATACACAAGCTTATATACCAGCGTGTGTATATCCGCAATTCGCTTCGCCGATGTAGAAATTCTGCTGTAGAGGCCCAAAATTTTTTTTATGTACATTGCAAAACTTGTTTGTGCTTTATTCATTCTCATTCTTATGGTTGGCCGCGACAGTGAAAGATGAAGAAGCTGGCTTTGAGGTGCTGTAGATGCTTTCTTTTTGCTGCCAGTCCGCCAGTCAGCCAGCCAGCCAGCTAGTTAGCCAATGTTGGGGTTTGACCGCGATTTTACCGTAAATTTGTTGTTTTTTTTTCTCCTCAGTTTTGCTTCATTTTCTGCTGCTAGCTCTTCACCCAAAAGCCAGCAAAAAGTGAGGCTGTTTTCTCTGCACGTTTTGCGCATTGCGATGGCAATTATGCGCTTCTGAGCTATTGTATCTGGAAGCGCAACGTATGTACGTCACATATGGCGTACGAATGAGTGGAGTATAGAACTTTTTTTTTCCATGTACATAGAAATAATTTCGATTACCGCTAAGGTCAGAAGACACAAATAAGAATAAGGAAAAGCCATAAATGGATGATGATTATGGGGAATATTTGGATATTAGATAATACCAGGAGATTTGATACGAGTAGTAAGCGGTCAGCTAATTTTAAGATACCTTATATTAGAAAAAAAATATCCCAAACCTTTGATTCCAAACAACGTAGTTTTGTGCTTTAAACATAAGGCTTGTTCTTCCAAGGCCACGACATTATCAATTCGACTTTAAAATAGGTACTTTTTCTCAGTGTACTTTACTTCTTCATCATCAGTAAATGCTTTTCCGGCAGTATTTTCTCGTAAAATTTACAACTATTGCTTTACAACTCAATAATCTCCCGGTCGTTTATGAAACTTTGAACTCCTAACACGGGTCTGCATCTTTTCTTGCAGCCGCAAAGTCTCCCGCTTGGACTGGAGATCAAGGTACAAAAACTTGCGTAAGCACGTTGTTTCTAAGGCACCCATAGCAAGGCGGTCGAATCATAAATTAGGCTGATCCAGTTAGATCACCGAGCGAAGCTACAGGTCTGTTGGAATATCGCACTCCACACAGCAATTGGATGCTTTCTGATATCGCCTGAACGCCACCTACATATAAATGTCCTTATTTGAGTTCAACCACCACTGCAGACGGAGACCAACAGATGTTTCGAGGGACCCTCCGTAACATAATCAACTACTACTAATACACACTCGAACGCGGCATATCAAATACATCGAAGTGCGAAAAAAACGTACGCGAAATTTGTTTCAAGATTTACTTGTTGATGAGAAAATTATGTATTTGCTGTTATTTTCGCGGTGAGGGTTCGATATGTTCGGTTTGTGAAAGCACCCGACACCACTCCAACCACCGTTTCATTTTCACCCCTAAACCCACTCAGCTAACACATTTTTTAGCTCTGTCCACAACTTCGCTGTAACAGCATATTTATCGCAAAACTAGTATTTTCCATTTTTTAATCAATAGAAAGAAATCATTGCCTTCAATTGTCTAACTGTGTTGAAAAAGACAATGCTACTCTTTAATAATTGCATTTCCTGGGCAAGCATCCACGCAAACACATGACTTCTTCTTCTTATTTGGCGCTGTAATTTAAGCCTAAGCCGAGTTCAACCACCACGCCAGTTATGACTTCTTCTCCACATATTATTATATTTTTTCCCTTGCTTACTGAGGAAGTTAGTCACAACATGAATCTTAACCTATGAAGAAACATGCTTTTTTCTCCCCGATTTACTTGTTTTTTTTTGGCGATATCTCAAAAAATGGCTGACTCTGGAAATCAGTATGAGTTGTTATAAACATTTGACAAGTAAACCTCTGAAGCAGGGATTTCGTTTTGGTAATAAATAATAATGATAGATGAGGATGGGTTTCGGCTATATAATACTCTTAAAACCAAAATGAGCCTATATCTATGGCCATGGGTAACCGTAGTTGTCGTTCTTATTCCTTAATGAAGGCAAGATTTCGAAAAAAATGATTTGGTTCTTGCGATGTTCGTAATTTTGCTGTAAAAGAAAATCTGGCCATAATTTGATAAAGCTTTACGTAATATATATTTGAGTGCTCAAAGGTGGTAACAGTTCTTTTATTTCCTATAGAAAAAGAGGAAATGCAAATCATCGACACTTCATTATAAGTAATCGAATAACAGTTCAAATGCAACTACTAGCAGTTCCTCCCATCATCGAATGTGATTTTCACTTGGCAAAAAGTATTCGACATATGGAATATGACTAAAAGAAAGAGAATAAATAATACACGGTTGGTAGATTAGCCGTAGACAAGTGTTGTTGCATTTGTAGTAACAACTATTTCTTTTAGTAGAAGCACATCGCATATTCATCAAATATAGTCGTATGCATAAACATTAGGCTGATCCAAAAATACATACGGGGGTAACAAGTTTGAAATGTTAAGCTCTCACCCCCTAGGATTATTATAGGAAGTCTCTGAAGAGAAATAGAGTTTTCCGATCGAAAAATATTGATTTTCAATTTTCACAAAAACTACTTTGTGATGTGAGTACCCATCTGGTACTTACCTATCATCATTGATGTTAATTCTGACCTTGCAATTTAATAGTAAAATCTTCTGTCAAGCGTTATACAAGGTCAGCATTAATATCACCGATGACCGTTAAGTCTTAGGTGGATCTTTATATCAGAATATCAGTTTTGTGAAAAGTGCAGATAGAGGGTATTAAATATAAGTCCTCGATAGGATTTTTGTTAATAACAAAAAGATACGAGTATTCTTTTTTTCCATTTAGAAAAATCCCATGCGGTGAGAGTTTAACATTTTAACTCTTTTTGACCACACTAATATATGTATGTACATACATATCCAACTAACTAAGAGCAGTGATTTTCGAAATCATCTTTTCTCATAATAATGATCAATAGCATCGTTACTACATCGCACTTTAAAGTACTTACCTACATATATACAACTGACTAAACTCACTTAAAAAATGCTTTGCTATGTGCATACCTACATACATATCAGGGATCTTGCGAATATTTGCATTCGCATTCGTTATGCGAATGATTCGCATCATTTTACGCATTCACATTCGACATTCGCATTCGCATCAAAGGATACGAATGTTTTACAAATGTGAATGTGTACATGGGCAGAGAGACCACTCTAATATTGTTGAAATGGCTCTAATAGTTCATTTCCACCAAGTCTTAACTGCAGTTTATGCCTATTGGAACAAGGAGATTACAACTCGAAGGGGGTAATTCCTCCTACTAACTAAGTACAAGCAAACGAAAGGAGAAAAGCAAACACTAAGAAATAAACCTTGCCGCTCACCCCATGTTGAAATTCTTGGTACTTATCTGAGCTCTTAACTGCTGGTAAACCTCTGGTGGACATAGGCTATAAGACTGTCTAACCAGGGTGCGGACAATAACCGGCTTTTAGCTTCAGTTGCTAAACGGTTAAGTAGTATTTCAAGCAACATTGATGGGCCTCAACAAGTACTGCTAAAAGTCTTGTAAGCCACCTAGAAATATTTTTGGTTTCCTCCAGCGAAAGCGAAGGCTCTGATGTAGAATCTGGAGACATTAAAAAATTTGGAATTCAAGCTCAATTGCAGGCCTATCTTAAAGAATAACGAGCTCATCTCGGTGAAAATCCCCTCGATCGGTGGAAAACTATACTAAAATACGAAAAATTGACAGATCTGGGCCGCAAATGTTTGAGAGCTCCACCCGCCAGCGTTCCATGTGAGAAATTGTTCAGTGCAGCCGGCCTTATAAACGAGCCTCTAAGAAATCGCCTCATGGAAGAAAAGGCAGCAAAATTACTTTTTTTTGAAATATAATATGCCCCTTTTGAACTTTGACTACTAGATCAAAACAGATAAGCACTCGTTCAATGTTCTAATAACTTACAAAATTTTTAAGTAATAAAAACGATGACTTAAGTTGATTATAGCTTTTTTAACGTTATTCCTAACATTCGCACATTCGTATCCGCATTCGCGAATGTGAAAAATCTGACATTCGAAACATCCCTACAACATATCATCACTAGACACGAATAAAGGCGCGAGCTCAAAAGTTAACCGCGAAAAAAAGGAGCTTAAAAAACGTCAGCGAAACTAGTTGACGGCGTAGAAAGACGCGTTAAAATATTTGACGGCGAAGAAGGACCCGAAAACTTATTTTCGTACTCGACTATGTTTGCAGATGTAACAGTATGTAAATTCCCTAAAGAGTTTTTGTAGAATGATGCTGAAGTGACAGTCCAAGGACTAAATCTGTGTTTACGCGTCTTTCTTCGCCGTCGAAACACTAGCGAGGCTTTATTCGTGTGTAGTGACGATATGTATTGCGAGTATGTAGATATGAAATTCGTGGAATAAACTCCATCATCATGCTCTTGGTTAATGCCTTTAGAAATATGTATGTACATATAGGGTGATTCGATAAGACCCCAAATATTCGCAATATGGCTATTGTTCCATGCACTGTGTGGCCATTTAATGCCGCTCATAAAAAGTTTGTTACCATGTCACAATAACGATCACCGATCACCTTAACAGCGTTACCGGAATCATTTTCGAAGAAGTACGTTCAAATGACTCCGCCAGCCCCATCAGTGGGTGCACTATCTTTTATGCAAGAAGGCGCTCTGTTCAAGCTCTTTTGCGGGGAGAAATCAAAAAAACAAGCAAAGGTATGTCTTAAAAACTAATGGATAAAACCAAGTTTTGCAAGAAATAAACATGTTTACACATACACATACCTAAGCACCCAAAATGTTTGCAATGCAATAAAATCAATATATAATACATATGTACTTAGGTACAAGCTATCAAGCAAGTTTACTAGATAGCCGTTACTGGTATTCATAGATGTGCTTGGTTGGATTACCTAATTCAAGTTTTCATATGTTCCTTAATTTGAGTTGCTAGACGCATTTTGCAATACCATAGGCCCACCTTTAAATTTCTTCAACATTTTAACGAAAAGAAATACCATATGTACTTATATAAACACATTTACTTTATTAATATGCATAAAAAGTGAAAGCATGCGTATATTTCAATTGCAAAACAAAACAGCGTCGGAATAAATTAGCTGATACATAAGCATTATGAATCTGGAGATGAATAAAAATATGAACAAGCAAAAAAAAAACATATTTGCGAAATAAAATGCCGAATGAGTGACCATTAAGTTATGATTATGGTGGGCAGCATCTTAACCGCGTATAAAGCTCTTTTAAGCTCTCAGTGAATTTTATATGGACATACAGACGATATAGGATATTTCTGACCAATAATTTTGTACATCAGTCGACACCAAAAAATATTCAGCGGGAGAAGTTTATTAAAGATTACTATAGATCAGCGATGGGCTGAGAGAGCTTTTACTCTGCATGCGCCTATACAAAATGTATAGAAAGCTTAAAAGTGCTTTGTCCGCGGGCAAGGCAGTGCCCATAAGTGCTATAGATATGGACGTGCACAGCGTATAAGCTTTCTGATGTCGTTGCTGCACGTGGGGAACTGGGCCAAAGCTCTTTCTGCCTGTTACCGACACAAGGCAGTAGAGAGTAAGCAGATCTTTAACCAGTGCAAATCTGTAAAAAAGAGCACAAAAAGCTTAAAAGCTCCGCACGAGAGTAAAGCTCAGATAGCTTTAAAAAGTTCAGCAACCATGCCTACGATGTGGCTAACTGCGCTGTAGATTCGAAATGAAGTGGTATCTTGAATAGTAGAACAAACGACCTACAAAGCCTTAACAGCATTCTGGTATGTCAACAGGTCCTTTTTTAAACGTGGAACTTATTAATTAGAGGAATCCTACACCTCTTTGACAAAACCTATTATCAGTCATGAAAAATATGCTTATACAACTGAAAATAACGATCGCCGAGTGCTGTATGGTAGCTTTCATTACAACTCCTGGGACTTCTCTGCTCCAAACCCACCGCATCCTAATATATTTATTCCGGGGGAGGCCTTTAGGTGCATTTAGCTTTAATAAAAATAAATAAGCAACGTTGAGCTTCCGGAGGCTTAGTGCTGGCTTCACCCCAAAACTGAACTCGGCTTGCGAATTTTAGAATCTTAAATTATCGCCCTGATACTAGTTAAGGACCTGGAATCTATAGCGAAGGTAACAGGCTATACCAATCCGAAGTATTTGCAATCCTCAAGGCCATTGAGTACGTGGTGGAATAAAGGTACAGAGTTTAAGTGTTTGTAGGCACAGACAAGTCGAAACAAGGCATTGTCTAGAGTCCAGACTTCTAACTACTTCTAAACGCTAGTTGTCCAAGAAATTCCCAACTCTGAACAAATTACTTAAGAATGTGTAGTGGAGTCGAGATTCAACTTAAGTCTTTCTAACACTAGTTATTAAATTCAATTTAACAAAAATGTCTAACTTGGTAAAACCAAATCGACAGTAGAAACTTAACACATAAATATGCAGTGCAAACTAAAAACAAAAAGTGCAAAAAACAACAACTATTACGTCGTGACTTCAGAGCTTGGAAAAATGAAGTGCCCAAAACAAAACCACTAGTGCTAAGCAATGCAAATTCTTGCCTATGTATCTGTGAAAAGAAGTATAGAAAAAACAGAAAAAGAGCGCTTAAGCCATTGAAAACAATTATATGTAAACGCATTTGTGTGTGGCTTGAGAAGCATTGAACAATAAAATCAGATTAAAGCTCAAGGTTATTATCAGTAAAGAAAAGAATGTATAACTACAACTTTTAGTAAGCTGACTGGAGCGGAATATTAAAAATTGATTAAAAATGCAAGTAAAAAAGTTCAAAGCTAAAATAAAATAAAATAAAATAAAATAAAATGAAATAAAAATATAAAAAACTCAAAAATATATAAAATATAATTTAATAATAGAAAACAAAATGGAAAATATATTAAACAATAAGCAAATAATATAAAAACTAATTTAAAATAAAATATGTTACAACACAATTTCATTTAAAGAATTAAAAAACAAAACAAATTAGAATATAATAGAATAAAATCTCAACAAAGACACAATAGAGCATAATATTTAAAAAATTATACGAAATAATTTAGAATAAATAAAATTACATAAAAAATTTGATAAAACCAAAACAAATTAAATTAAAATAATATACAATACGAAATATTTTATAAAAAAATAAAATAAACTTAAAATATTATAATAAAATAACATAAAATAAAAAAATAATAAAAAGTTAACAAACAATGAAAATAAAATAAAAAATTAAATAAACTAAAAAGTGTACAATAAAATCTTGACAGAACAAAAAAATTAAAAATAAAATTAAATATAATAATTTAGAATAAATACAATTAAATAAAAAAATAATAAAAAGCAAAGTAAATTAAAATGCGATACATTAGAAAATATATATTTTTAAATAAAATGTTTTTAATAAGACATTATAATAACAAAAAATCGCATACAAATAGCAAAAAGTTAAAAAATCATTAAAAGAATTTGTCAAAATTAAAGAGACTTGGAAAAAAACAGAATAAAACCTTAAAAAAGTATATTAAAAAATATGTTGAATAAAAGATTTAAATAAACTCTTAAAACATAAAATAAAACAAATATATTCGAATAAAAGCCTTAATAAAAACCAATTAAAGTTAAAAAATATAATGAAATCGCAAACATCAGGAAATTAAGGAAAATACATAAATAAAAAAAAAAAAAAACAAATACATTAGATTTTTTTTTAATAAATGAAAGCTCATTACGATAAATAAATAAATTTAATAAAATCTTTAAAAATTAACCAAAAATTATCACGATAAAACTAAAATATAAACAAAAAACTTCATTATGCAAAATAAAAATATATAAAAAAGTAATATTAAAACAAATAAAAAAGTGAATAAGAAATATCATAACAATCACAAAAAAATACTACTAAAAACTGGAATGAAAGATTAACTTAAGTCCTTCAAAGATAAAATAAAATAATTGTGAACTTGTAAAAATAAACTAAAATTAAAATAAATTATAACTGAATTGATCGTAAAAAATATAAAATACAGCAAAAGGAAACAAAATAAAATAAATTAAAGTAAAAGTGCATATATAAATAAAAAACAATTATATTAGAAAAAAATAAATAAATAACAGCTAAATAAAATGAAAACAAAATGAAGCTTGTAAGCATCAACACTAACTAAACTAAAACAAAGATTGAAAAATCGTCGAAAAAAAAATTTTAATTTATTACACCACTCACAAAAACCAAATAAAATTAAAAACACAGCGAAATTAAATCTGAGACAAAAATAAAAACCAATTATAAAAAAAAAATACATAAGAGTCAAAACAAAAATAAAAACCTTAAAGAATAACAAAAAAGTCTAGAACAAAAATAAAAGAAATTTAAACTGAAGTGAAATAGAACTTTAAGAATAAAATAAAATAAAATAAAAATGTCCGAAAGCTTAATTACAGCGCACTAACTAACACATTAGCTGAGAAGAATTCAGATTCATGTCAATCGTTCTTTTAAAACTCAATTCTGTATAGCAGGCGACTTCAAAACGGAAAATGAAATTTTATTACCACATAAACTTTTAAGTGATTAGTTATTAAAAAAAAAACCGGCTTGAAAGCACTCAAATAAATAATAAAAAAAAATATCGCTAAACTCTTACTTCATAAAGGTGCAGCAAAATGCGAAATCTATCGCCTACATCACCCTGGCGCCATCGCTCCAATCGAAGTACAGCGCTGCTACACTCCGCCCTTCTCCTCCACGTTTACCTGCTGCTCCAGCTAAGCGTGCGCAATGCGCACGGCCAAGCGCAAAATCAACCGCCACACTTTGTGCCCGGCAGTGGTGATATGTCACGTTTCAGCCTGCTCGAGAACACGCCAGTCGGCAGTCCGATCTATCAGTTGCGCGGTAAGTTAATTTCTGTTTTCTTAATTTATGATTTGGCCATATGTCTGTATGTATGCAATTACATTTAATGTCATTCGCATAAGTGAGTGTTAACGCATATTTATGCATAGCGAATTTTTCCCCCCTTCCAACGACGGGTTGTATGCATACGAACATTTATTTATTAATAGTAGCAGTGTGCATGTTGCAAGCACCTGTCGCCACTAGCGTCCGGCTTTGGCTGACTGACTGGCTGGCTGGCTGGTCAGTCTAGCGTTTATAGCTTTTGCGTATTTTTCTGTTTTATGTTTTTATATGTATGTATGTTCGTTATGGCGGGCAAGTTCTTGCACCAAGTTTCGCCATGCTAACCAGTTTTTCGTGAATTTTAAATGGATTTTCATGTTCATATTATTTGTAACGAATTTATGTTGGAAATGTATTCAGATATGTAACCTGTTAGTTGGCTGACTTAAAATTATTGTAATATTTTGATTTTGAAATAGTCATGTTCTTCAAGTAAGAAGTTTCATACGAAATATATATGTAAATGTAGTACAAATTTATATTCTTGAAAGTTAATGTTAAATAAAAAGAATTTACTACAGGCAATATGCCCTATGCAATCACTACAACCTTAGGTTATTTATAGACTTAAGCTTTTTGCAAACGCTTTCCTTAAGGATTCCGAGGTTTTCATTACCAGCCCTCAAAACCTGTAGACGGTCTCCTCATTAAGTCCTAAGTTACAAATAGGGTACCATAGCTCATAGTGTACTATCAGTAATAATTCTTAGACCCTTTAGGCAGAGACTTCACGAATATCGTAGATGGTATGCCAAGGGGTTGCAGCCTGAGAGCCCTCCTATCTTCTTATATGCTCTATTGAGTTTTCCTTGGATGGGTAAAAGGAAGCCAGAGGGCGTTGACCTCCAATATTCGCGACGTTATCAGCCCTTTCGTTGACCAAAAAAGCCCTTGTAATCTGGAATCCACCACAAAGTAATCTGGTTACGTGATCCAAGGTAATCCAGTACATTTTTGCAACTGTTTACTAGGCTTGATACAGTTTTAATTGAATCCCAATGCTGCCTTGCTGTCCGAAAAGTTATTTACAGTGGCTCCATTACTTCTTCCACAAAAACGGTCGCAGGCACAAATTTCAACGGCAAAGAATTCCCATTGGTACACTCTTCGGAAATCTAAGTCCAAATATGGACTCATCGTGTGAAGCTTGGATCTCTTAGTGTACCAAACATAGGATCGTAAGCTGGTCATTGTGAGTACTAAGTATTCAAACCTTACTTTCGGAAATTATACATTGAAGGCCTTACTAAACGATAACTTCGGTGGAATCGCGTCTTCAATTTGGCAACGTCATTATTCATGAATGACTTGCCGACACTTACATAGATGGCCAATGAAGTCTTCACCTTTCAACAAGCTTATTTTTCAAAAAGTATGGCTGGTAGTGGAATACCGGTGATGACTCCAAACGCCTTTTCAAATCAAGAGCGCATGGCTCCTGTGATGGCAATACAGACCAATGGCTGGAGCTTACCCACAGTGATGCTGAAACTAACATGTTTGGCTTTTGGCCTACAAAACATTGCGGTTTATATGTGTACGTTGATTTCGGGTATATTCCCCAAGTTTAACCATGAAATCTTTAACAAATATAAAATGTCTCTGTGGCTTTATTGGTGAGCGTCGAGAATTCCAGTTGACTCTTTTATCTAGTCTAGATATTTCGCCTCTTCTGAGAACAGAATCTCCATCTTTTCGAAGTTGGCCTTCCTTCTTTTCGCGAATGGAACGGTGTTGAACTTCATAGGCTTTAATGACCAGCTCTATTCAGCACACCATAATTTAGTTTAATATAGGCCTGCCTGCAGTCAGAAGCGTATGATCTTTTCATGCCAGCCTATAACATTGACATGGACTTAGGCCTTTTTCTCACTTGCTTAGGGAAAGGCTTTCAATAATAACCTTAGTTTCACAAAAATGAAATAAAAAATATATAATTTTCAAAGTCTGAATGGAAGAGTTAGAAGGACTGCGATTTTCGTAAATGGCCTTATTCTAAAGCTTTAGAAGCACATAGCCTCGAGCCAGCAGAAGAAAAAGCCGAAAATCTACTAATCGTGAACAAGCACATAGGGGTAGAGCTAATAAAATCTGGCTTTTACTTAATAGGGCTGAGATTTGGGCCGATGTTCCGAAAATTAAACACCGCAGAGAACTTAAATATATCTTCAGCTCAGCATACGACAGCTCTCCGCTTAGCTGAGTATACTGAACATTGTCCGGACTTGCCGTACTGAGGTTCCACACATAAACCACAACCTGTCCTTAATTTCGTGAAGAGCTAGTAAGTGGCAATTGAATGAAACTGTAGGGCCAATGAGCTAGCCAGAAAATGTACCAATCTTCTACTGTGTGAAAACAGAGGAACAATTTAGATATCCATGGCAAATTGCAAGTAAAGGATTAGAAATAACATTACTGAGCACGTCTTCTGTAGCTGCCCAGCTCTTAACGGAACTATCCAATGCCACATCAACCTAACCTACTAAGGTGGCAAAGGGTTTCATTACTACTCGTGTGAGTCTTATTAACTTGCTGATCATTTAGTCGGCTATATTCTCAACTGAGAAAAAAATCAACCAAAAATAGGTTAATATTACCAAATTTAAACTTGAAAAGGTATTTAAGTGATTTTTGGTTATTATGTATTAACAATGCCTTTTGATATTTTCAACAATTATTTGGTAATATTAACCACACTGTGTTTTGTTTGTATTCGACAAATTTTTGGTTGTCGATTTTTCGTTTGAATACGCTTATGTTCTGCACTTCACAGATGCTTTTTCATAATTCGGAGATACAAAACAAAATTTTTTATTATCATTTTAATACGTTTCCTCCGATGGGATTTGACTCGCATCTTCTGAAAGTTAGCAAATAACAGCAAACATCTCTGCACACTCAGCTAGAGACAATAATTTAGACAAAAGCCTCTACGTTTAGGCTAAAAAATGTCAAGTTTGCTTTCAGCGGTGATTAGACTTGCTGCGATTGTGAACTTTGAAATACCATTCACCGTTCGGAGGCGACGTAATACTATAGATCCCTCACCTTTGTGACATACCAGCCCCTTTTTATTTTTTAAAACCACCGCCTGTTTAGTGGGACTCCTTAAGCTACGTTCTCACGCCATCTCACGAGGCAATGCTAGGACTTATTGTAGACTGGAATACATATGTATGTCTACAATGAGCCAACAGTACGATGGTTTTTTGAACCAAGTTAATGTTTGGTTTTTCATGGTAAATACACCGATACACCAAGTTGTACTGAAAATTTTGACAATGAATACCGCCAACATAATTACAACATTGTTCAATGCTGCAACGTGTACTTGATCTCATACGCTCTTTGTTGATGCATTAAAGGTCAAAGAAATGAACTTGCGCAAGTACAAGAATGTATCTTATAAACTAAATACACCCACACTTGAATTGTTTACTAAATATAAGCACAAACATAGCGTTCTCGCATAAGAATCAAGTTTCTCCGAAAAAAAAAATCACGTTTAAATAAAATGCATAGTCAGCGAATTTCTTGCGGCAAAACCTTCAGCCCACTGTTTACAACAACATGCGATTCAATAGCAGCTTACAGCCGATGCACTGCTGCAACAAAATAAATATTTGAGATGTTGATGAATCTCATGATGTGTGTGCATGTGCATGTGTATTCACATGTTAGTGGAATACATACCTGAAAAACCAAAGATTTTTCCCAAATAACTTAAAGCAATTTGCCAGTTTTGGTTAGCTTTCACCCCAAAAAGTAATCATCTTCATTACAGAGAAAAACAAAAAAAGCAAAGCAAACAACAAAAAAAAATAGAAAGGTAAGTAGGTGCATAGTACTTTAAGAGCTCTAAGAAAATTTCTTGGTGAGAATCACAAGTATTTTTAATGGTTTGCTTTTAAAGAATATTGCTGTATATGTGTAGACATTCTTCAAAGAGACTAGAGGAAAACAGAAAGCAATTGCGAGAAACTACAACAGCACATCTGGACTAGTGAAATATTGTAGCTTAAATGAGTTAGGAAATGGTTTGGCCTACTGGCGTAGAGTTCGTTTTACGTGCACCTACGAGCCTCCCGCTAGGTTTCAAGCCAATGACTTCAAGTAAGTACATTAAAAGCTTTTATGTATGTGAGGCATTCGTTTTCATATCGGATAACAAATTTGGATTGGCTGCAAATTATTTAATGGGTTCTATACGTGAAATAAGCTAACACGTATTCGAGGATTTTTTTTTCAAAGTTTGGATTTTTTCGTGATTCTGACTAATCATGTTCTTCTTCAAATCATTATATCTCGAGTTCTGATCATCGTAAAGAATTCATCTTAACGCTGTTTTAAAGCTAAAGACACGGGCTTAACATTTCTATATATAAAATGGTCATGATTGTCCTGAAGCTAACTTAGGTATTAACAGTTGAAGTTTTTAAAGTTGATTTGCATAGTGAAGACCAGTAACTTAGGGATTTAAAATTACACCATCGATATCTTTGCTAGTTCTCCATAAAATACATATTTCAAAACAAATTTTTTTGTGGGAGTCAACAAGTTTTTGTAACCGCCAAAATAACGTTGGTGGTATTTAAAATTTTTTATTTATTTTTTGATGCAGAAATGCATCTAGATGCTCTTGGAATATTTCTGTATCACAAAGAAAATTTTGAAAAAAATGTCCCTTACGTTATTTTGACGGTTAGGGCTCGTTATGATGAGATAGTATATTTAGCAAAGTGTTAAAAATCCGGCTTTAGCAAAAATTTAAAATTCATTGCGGATTCCGATAGAATACCTATGCAGAAATAAAATTTATGCAGCAAGATTTTTCTTTAACGCGGCAAAACCTCTATTGTAGGAATAAAGTTAGCAAAACGGAGTTTTTATTGCGGATTTCGGCAGAATATCCCTTCGTTAACAACATTTGT